ATGCAAAGAACAACTTAAATGTTCTGAAAGTCAGATTAGTCCAAACTGAATAAATGGAGGCTTAAATACATTAAAAAGGAATTTCCACCCAAAGGGTGAATCATATCCCATCGGCAAGCTTGATGAAGAAAAGATGTTGATGTCTATGTACCTTTTCATTTTAAACATTTACACAGTCGAAGGTTTCTGTGAACAAGAAGCCTAGAGGCAGCCCATACATGAAAACCCCGATCACTATGGCAACTAGAAATGGCAATGATTGCACAGTGACTCATCACATATTGTTCTTCAAGGGCAGAGAAACAACTCAGATTCATGCTTCACTGGAAAGAGCTCAGTTAAAGAATAACCTGGAGCAGTGGTTGTTTTTAAGTGTTTATCAAATTTTTGCAGTTTTACACTAGGGTATCTATCTTAATATTAACTTCAGAGGAGTACTTAATGCTCCCTAAAGAAATGCTCATGGCCCCAGGTATGTAGCTCAGTGGCACAGCACCCGCCTGCCAAATACAAGAACCTGAGTTCGATCCCTGGTACAGGTGGGGAAAAAAAGAAAGAAAGAAATGCTCATGGATATATTCATTCATTCATTCAATAAACTGCACTGCAGGTGCTACAATAGATACAGGAATATGACTGTGAATAAGACAGCAGGGCATCTGTCTCCCTGAGCTTCCGGTATGACTAATAAGCAAACAGGCACCAAGGAGACAGTGTGCTTCAGTCTGCTGCCTGACGTGCAGGGTGCTCAGGGACTGAGAGCACACAGGATATCCCAGAAGAAGTGACGGCTAAGCTGAGATCTGATGCACGAGCAGGACCTAACTAGTCAAAGCAGGGTAGGGAGCTCTGCAGGCCTCACAGCTATTCCAGGCATGGAGGTCTGAAGAATCACAGGAACAGGACACTTTAAGGACCCACTGTAGCTCTGGTGGCTGAAGCATGGAGTTCTAGGCACCATGATTGATGGAAAACGAGGATGGAGAATAGAATGCACAGTATAAAAAGGCCCAGCAAATACAAAGGTTGAACTATTGCTTCACTTGCAGTATGGGTGAATAACACAGATATGATGTAAACCAGAAGTCACTCCAAAAGAACACCTAGTGTATGATTGCATGTTTATATATCCAAACCCGGGCAAAACTAGTCAATGCTGATAGAGATCAAAAAGTGGGAGAACATGCTGACTTCACACAGGTCATGAAAAAAAAAGGCATTTCTGGGGATACTGAAAATGTTCTACATCTTCATGTGGGCAGTAGCTAACTGTTTATACATTTTCATAAATGTATCATTTTGGGCGGGAAGTGTAGCTGGGTGGTAGAGTGCTTGTGTAGCCAGTGAGGCGCTGGTTTCCATGCCCAACACCACAAACAAGAATGTATCATGTTTACACTTTGATTTTCTCAAAATCAAAACAAGTTACCTTGAACAAGTTGTATCTTAAGAAAAAAGGAGAAAAATCAAATGAGCAAAAGTAATGGTTAAATATCCAACAAAAGAGGACTTCATATATAGGAAAATAATGTTTATGCAAATCAAAAGAGCAGTGATTTCTAGAGAAAATTAGTAAAAGCTTTGAGACAAAAATCTTGCTAAACAGGGCAGGGGATTTAGCTCAGTGGTGCCGCCGCCTGCCTCACAAGCACAAGGTCCTGAGTTTGATCCCTGGTACCAAAAAAAAAAAGAAATTTTGCTAAACAAAGAGGAGTTTGGGAATATGCCATGTGGAGGTATAGAAAGTTTTTGGTATATTTTCATTATAGAAAAATCACATATATATATATAAATACTATAAACATGTAGTAAACATAATCATCAAATTTGAAATATAAAAATCAGAGCAGGGTAAATGTCCTGAGTTTGATCACCAGCAATAGAGAGAAAAAGTCCAAAAGAAGAGGTTTCTTAGCTGGACACAGCGGTACTTTGCTGTAATCCCAACACTAGAAGGATGAGACAGGAGGATCTCAAGTTCAAGCCTAGTCTGGGCAACTTACTAAATTAGTGAGACTCTGTCTCAAAATAAAAAATAAAAAGGGCTGAGGATGTAGCTGGGTGCAGTGGTCCTGCATTCAATTCCCCGTACCACAAAAAAATAAATAGAAAGGGTTTGAGGTTTCTGCTTGACCAGCTGAACAGATAGTAATATCACTTATTAAGATGGGAAAACATAGAGAATAGTATGATTTTAGAGGGAATGAGACACGAATAATGAATTCAGGCTGCTTTGTTTTGTTTTGTTGTACTAGGAACTGAACTCAAGGCCTTCACACTGATCTACATCCCCAGAGCCT